GTCCCCTTCTCCGTGAACGTCTGATAAATTAAAGTCAAACTCCGGAGAGAACTGTGCGATGGGACAGAAAGGAAAGAAGACAATGGTTGTGCGTCTCGGTGTGGACACAAGGTGCAGGATAACACATCGGCAGTGGCGTCACAAGGAGGGTGTGGCCCCACCCGGGTGACACCATTAGAGGGGTGACACCAAAATGACTGTAATTTTGGTATCACCCCTTTCTAAAATGTCGGGCGCTCAGTCATGGACCGAGAGCCCGACAGCTGCATGAGAGAGGAGGGGACCCGGCGGCATAGCTTATCCGGCCGGGTGAATGTCCCCTCCTCTCTCTGCCGGCGTCCATCACCAAGATGGCCGCCGGCAGGCATCTATCAGACGCACGCATCAATCAGAAACACGCGCAACGGCGACGCGGCGGGGTGTCACCCGGTCTAGAGACTCCCGTCCTCGGGACGCCCCTGCTTCCCATATATCCAAAAAAGAAAAAGTTTTGACTACAGTCACACTTTAGGCACCGCCCCCTACTGGCTGGTTTTCATTGGTGCGGTAGGCGATTAGCCTCCATGACATCAGCGCATTGTACGGAGTGCGAAAAGGGTTACGGGAGACCCCCCGGACAATGACCGATGGCTCTCTTACCTGGACAGAGTTGGGGGTTGCAGTCCTGGAACTCGGCGGCGGATCCGGAGCAGGGAAGTCCTCCGTTCCGAGGTTCCGGATTATTGCAGAACCGTTTTCTGGATCGGAACCCCAGTTCGCACTCTCGGGAACAGGCAGACCAGGCCCCCCACGGGCTCCAGCCGCCGCTGACTATACGAGCCGGACTCTTGCCGTTCCTCATGAGATCGTCCACCAGAGCTGCAGGGAGAAGGACAGAAGACACAAGGGTATTACTCTAAACGTCTCATGGATTCCCGGGGGATGTTTTGTAGCCAAGCGTTCTCATCAGCGGTCCGCTCTCCGCAGACGTTTGGGAACAATACTGAGAAAATATAAACTGACTGACATTTTCCTGTAATAGGACTTTACGGAGACCAATATTGGGGCCTCTTCTGTGCACCTTGTGAAGATATAAAATGTATTTAGATGTTTTGCTCGCCTATGCCATGGCAGTATATGACTACCGAAGGATGAAGGGTTAGCGCAGGGTTAGCCAAACTCCGGCCCTCCAGCTGTGGTGGAACTGCAAATCCCATGATGCATCTCTCTCCGGGAGTCATGTCTGTAGCTGTGAGAATCTTGCAATGCCTCATGGAATTTGTAGTTCCACCTACAGCTGGAGGGCCGGAGTTTGGCTACCCCTGGGTTAGAGTAAGATGATGATGATGAGTGTGATAGGTTATGTTACAATACTTCTGTTTCACTGGCAAGTCACATATTTCCCTTTTTTACATAGGCTGAATTAAAGGAGAACTATGGGGTAAGCGTTTTCCCCTCTTAGTTCTCCGAAGGGTCCCAGGAGGACATAGACTAGCGTCCTCCTGTGACCCACAGCTCAGTATACAGCGAGCTACAGTATACTGAGACGCCGCAGCCGGGACGGATCCTGACATTACTGTAGAGATCCGCCCAGCTGCGTGAGTGACAGCTGGCTCTGCCTATCTAGAGACAGAGCCAGATGTACCCGCCCCCTCCCCGTACCATACCGCCAGTCAGCGCTGGAGGATCGGAGCGGGGAGTCACGGCTCTCTGCAGGGAGATGATCGAGAAGTGAGCGAGCGCCGGTATGTGTCCGCTCACTTCCCGATCTATTGAGCTGTCCTAACGTCCTCCCGTCACCCTAGGCTCAGTATGCTCGCGGTATACTGAGACGCCGCAGGTGAAGCGGATCCCGACAATTGTGCCGGGATCCGCCCAGCTGCGTGACTGACAGCCTATCTAGAGGCAGAACCAGCTGTACCCGCCCCCTCCCCCTAGAGCGAAAATCACTCGCCTCGTAGTTCTCCTTTAACGTCTATGGAACCTAATGTTTTTAAGAATCTGTTTTTTTCTGAATAATATCAATATTTTGTTTAATTTTCGGAGGTCAGACTATGAATAGATTCCTTTTAAAAGACCTCCTGCAGCCCTCCCTTATTCATGGGATCAATACATCATAGATTGTATATACTCAAATAACAATGTGAGTTTATTATAGATACTCAAGAGTGCCATCACGTTCTCAAACAATTCATCCCCCACACAGCTCCCTCCTCATGTATCACTGGCCCCTCCCCTTTTAGATTGAAAGCCCTCGGGGGCGGGGCCCTCCTTACCATCGTGTCCTGAATTGTATTGCGATTGTAACGTCCTCCTTATATTGTAAAGCGCTGCGCACACTATTGGCGCTCTATAAATCCTGTATAATAATAATCTGATGTGTATTAATAAGAATAAATAATATAAAGAAGAATACATTTCTATATGTATTTACTATCTCCTAAGAATAGATCTTTGGTCTAAGATATATGCAGAGTGAATGATTTACCCCAATAACCTTTCCTGCCTGGATTTAAAGTTCGGAGAAGAATAATGGAGACTGGGATTCCATTATATGGTCTTGTTACAATGTATTAGAATGCTAGGAAATCGATAGGAGTCAGGGTTGAGGTTAGGAGATATCCTAATAGAATATTCCTGAGATAATTA